GGTTATCATTATAAGCAAAAATATGAAGTACTTACACCATCATCTACATTGCTTCCTCCAACACACTAGGAAGAACCAGAGATGCTTTATAGAAGTTTAGTTGCTTTTGAAAAGGCACATGGGTGTGAATTTTTTTTTTAACATTCTAGAGATTGTGTCACCACCACTCTGTTTCTGTGCAGAGATTGCATCTGTGACTAACTGGGGTAGACATAATGTTGTTCAAGCTAAAGAAAGTTAGAGCCAAAATTTAACTGCACAGTAACAATGCACTTTTCTTCATGCAGGCTTGAGTTTCCTATATATTCAATTCTCATGCATTAGAATACATAAGGTAGGCTGTATTCTAATGATTTTACAATATGGAAAAAATTTAAAGAAGGACATCACCTGGGGAAGAGAAGAGGGAGAACCTTTACCACAATGAAAATAGATACATTTGTACCCAACAATATAAGAAGAATATAATCCATTTAAGTTTCTAGAAATATACTTCCCTTCATGAGAAAGACCCCTCCTCTGTGATATTATCTGGGGGGAGGGTCATCAGTTTGTTTCCATAGAAAATAGTTCAGCACAACAGGAAATAGTTTGACTTTGGTCCACGTGTCTGTTAGCTTAAGGACAGTCACACTGCCCTTAGTTCAAAACCCAACATGTAAATTTAAAAATAACATTCATCTGTTATTTCATTCTAAAACTGGCATAACTGTTCTGTCCTCATTCTCTGTCTTTTCAGCTTGGGAATCCACTGTCAGTTTGCTGTTTAAACCTTCAGCACCTTCATGATCTTCCCTGGCAACCTCAGCACCATCTGCTTGGCTAGGTTCTCTTTCCTCTTGGCTCATGATTTCAGGGGTCACGTGATCCAAGTCTGCTTCTAGAAGCTCAGTTTGTACTTCCACTGGTATTTGATTTACCCGTTCAACATGCAGCTCCTCCACATGTACTTCAGTGCGTTCTTCAGTCTGAATTCGACCCACTTCTAGATAGCTCACTTGGACCTGCTCTGGAAGCACACTAATGTATGAATCATGTGCTTGGCCATCCTGGAGCAGATCTGGATGGACCTGTTCCACAGTCACTTGTGCTGAATCCACCTGAACCTGAAGCAATGGTAACATATGCACCTTCCCAACCTGTTCTATAACAGTCATTGATGTCACTGGTTCAGTTTGCACATGTGTTTCTACTGAAAGGACTTCTTCAGTTACTAGATGCTCTGAAATATTGTGAGATTCATCCAGATGCCTCCTGAATTCATTTCCTTACATAAACCACAAATCACACAGAGTGTAATGGTTGGGTTTATCTCTGGTGTGTATTGCCAAGTGATCTTTGAATTGGTCCCAGCTATTAAACACACTGGTACAGACCTGACATTCGTAAAGCTTCTTCTTCCCTTTTTTTGCTCCCACTCCAGTTTGGCATGCAGTGAGGTGACATTTGAGAGTGCTATTTCTAGCAAATTGTTCATGACAATTTGGACATTCAAAAGGTTTTTCACCTGTATGTTTTTGAACATGCTCTTTAAAATGTCCAAAGTGATCAAACTGTTTCTCACAATACTGACATATGTGAATTTTTTTCCCAGTTCTTTGCTTCTTACTGACCCCACCTTCTTCAAGGTGGTAACAATTTAGATGTTGTTTCCATGCACTCTCCTGAAGATACCTTTTATTGCATATTTCACACTTGAAACTCTCAGTGGAGTGTGATTTCATGTGTTCCTTAAAATGGTAAAACAATTTAAATGAATGGTTACATTTCTCACAATGGAACAAGTCCTTCACATGTGACAGCTGAAGTTCCACAATTTCAATATCTTCTACCTGTTTGTTTATGGGGTCAGATGCACAGCCATCGTCTTCTTTAATTTGCCCTTTTCTATCACCTTGATGGTATTTGCTGGTAATATCTGCCAACAATGCTAGAGCAGAATCATCAGAGGAACCTGTGCTCTGAATGTACTTTATGGTCTGCTTGGCAGATGCTACTTCCTCTAATGTTTCAATGCCTTCATCTTCCACTTCAATTGTACCTTCAGCAATCTCCACCTCAATTGCAACAGGTTCTGATTCTGCAGATGGCAATGACTCAGTGATAACATTTGAAGTTTCTGCAATCTTTCCTTTTTTTGCCTCATTTTTTCCTGTTGTATTTTCCTCTAAAGGAGTGGAGTTTTCTTTGTTTCTGACTTCAAGGGCTTTGATAGCTTCTAGCATTTGTAGAAACTCTGCTGCTTTCCATACATCGTTGGCTTCTTCTTCTCCTTGTATCATTAATTTTGCTGTATATGTGAACTCAATTAAATGATGAAAGGCCATTTTACTAACACCTTCTATCTCCACCAAGGGTTCCTGAGTAAACTCTTGAAAGAATTTGTAGAAGAATTTACTGCAAGCAGCCAAAACAGCCTTATGAGCCTTAAAATGGTGCCTATCCACAATCAGGGTGATGTCGGTAAAGCGGTCCTGCTCTCGCTGTTCATTCAATCGATCCAGGATCATTTTATGATGTTCAGGAAACTCCTGAAGGCATTCCATCGTCTCTTCAGTCTCCATAGCGGTCGGGTTGCTGTCGACGTACTGCATCACTGTGTTGGGCTCTGGCGGACGCTGACACTTTCCGAGTGCTAACCACTGCAGGGATGAGCCACACCCCCAATGGGGGGGCGGGGCCATCTGAGACATATTTGGTGCTCCAGGGGAGAAACAGGCTATGGTGGCGCTAGGTCTGTGCAAGGCCCAGCTAGATAGAGGGCGAGGTACTTAAATCACCGCCTTTCCACTCCTCCCAGTCCTCCTTTACTTGACTCCAGACGTGAGTGTTTCCTCCTGAATTCAGAATACCTCATTTTGATCTTTTGTTTCACCTTGGTTGTGTTGAGTGAAGAGGAATTGCCTTGGGCTGCATATTACATATATATATATAAATG